CAGACATCTCTACAAGCGGTTCCTAAATCACCAGTTTTCCAAGAAACAAGGTCCTTTATCACCACACACAATCACCAGTTTTCCACCAAAACATTTAAAAAAGAAAAAAAAATTCACATTTCCACACAGTCCCAAATAAACACCCCAAATCCCCAGTCACAATACATCCCCGAACATTTCCACAAAAACGCCTAAGTCACCGTACAAAATGGCCAATTTTCAACACACAAACTGCCATAAGCCCACAAAAAAGGTTTCCAAATCCACAGACAATTTCCCCTCACACAACGCAGCCATATATCCATGCGCTGAACCAAACCCTACACAATTTCCCACAGGTCCCACAACATACCAGCCACAGAAAAATGTTCCCAAATCACCCAAACATCACCACACCATTTCCACACACAAAATCACCATATTTGCACACACATTTCCTCAAACAGTTCCCAGACCATCACTTTTCCACACAAAATCACCGTATTTCCAAAAAAGGCACTATAACACCACACACAATTTAGTAATTTCCCCCCTCCAAAAAATCACATTTCCACAAATTCCCAAATCCTCACACAATTCTCTCAATACCACCGTATTTCTCCAAACATTTCCACAAAACACCTGCAAATCTCCACACTAAATGACCGCTGCAAATAATCATCACTGCCACAAATTTTTTTCCCTGTCACCACACAAAATGGCCAGTTTTCTATAGAAAAACCACCAGGTGCTCACACAGCTCCACATCACTGCTCACAGACGCATTCCCCACCCCCTGCACAACACCATCGAGACACCCCCTCCTCCCGGGTCCATCCAGCGCCAAGTCCTGCCCACCCGCATCGCCACAGCCCTGGCACAGCCACACCACACTGCCCTGCTGTGCAACAAGGCCAGGCACCCCCATCCCCTGCTAATTCTCTGATAAAAACCCCAAAATGCACGATTAAAATGAAAGACCTCCCAACCCCCCCAATCCCAATCCCAGCTGCCAGGGCTATGGCACCAGGAACCCAGGTCCACAGCCCCCCACAGCTGGCACAAGGCAGCAGCTGCTTCAGCGGAGCAAAGCCCAGAGCCCCCACCCGCTGCCTACCTGCTGTCAGCTCGCGTGAGGAGGGCCGTCTCCCTGCTGCTGTGCACGCTCCTGAGGGACAGGCGGGACCTGTGCCCCCAGATCTGTGCACAGGGTGGGGGCAGACTGGCAGCTGTGGGCTCACACTCCCAACCCACTGCCCTCCCCCAGGGCCTCCGCAGCGCAGCAAGTGCGACTCACTGCTGCAGGGAACAGCAGAGCCATGTACGCATCTCCTTGCCACTACAAGCTCCGCACTGCCCTGGGAACACGTCCCCTGCCCATGAGGCACCCAACCCTGTGCCGCCGACCTTGCTGCTGCCGCACGCTCAGGGGACGCTTTGCCAGGGCGGCACAGAGGTCACAGTTCCCTGTGTGGGCTCACTCTGCCCTGCAGTGCCAGGCTGCGCTTGCTGGGCTGCAGAGGGCCCGAGGGAGGGCAGCAGGTTGGGAGCCTGAGCCTGCAGCTGGCAGCCCATACCCCACACATGGATCTGGGGAGCATGGACCGCCCTGCCCCATCACAGGAAAGCAAGTAGTGGTAGGGATCGAGCCCCACCCCCTGGACAAGCCACCCACAGCCCCGCCCCACTCCCTGTTGGGGCCACGCAGCTACACATTGCAGCCGTAAGCCCCATATAACCCCAGCTGGGCAGCAGCCCCAGCCCCAGCCAGCTCCCTCCCTCCCTCTAGGGGCCTCAACCACTGCCCCACCCCAGGCACTTACCTGCAGGAGCTGCTCTCCAGGCTGCCTGGTGGCCCCCTGCCTGACCGCCCTCCTCCCACTTCTGCCAGCCTGCAGAGAGCTCTTTGCAAAACTGGAAAATCTGCGGGTTTCTCCACTAAAACGAGAAATCCGTGTTTTCCGCTGGGAAAGGAGAAATCTGCGGTTTTCGCCAGTTTCCTGTGGGAAATGGAATCCCTGCTAAGGACCCACAGAGCAGAGTTTTTTGCCCTTTGTCTCCTGGCTGCAATGCCCGGCATAAGCAACAGGAGGGCGGCACTGAGCAGCCTTTTACCCACTCCCCACCTTTATCTCCAGGCTCCATGCCCAGCTTGAAGGACCAGACGGGGGGGACAACACAGAGCTGGTTTTGGTACCTGCCCTCATCTCCTGGCCCAGAGGCAGAAGAGATGGCAGCAGAGAGGAGCCCCAAGGCAGCCCAGGTGCAGACTCCGGGCAACTGCAGCAAGAATGGTGCAGCCACAGTGAAGCGGAGGGGCCGTGCGGTGGCAGCATAGACAGAGAAGGAGGGAAAAGGGGAACTAAAACAGGTACACAGCTTAAATCTGAGAGAAGCAAAGAGCAGGGGGCAAGGAAGCATTCTACCCCCTCCCCTACAACTCCCTAAAAGAAGGTGGGAAGCAGAGGTGCAGGTCTGCTGCAGGCTGGGACAAGATAAAGCACTTCATGGGAAGGATGAGACTAGGAGAGGCTGACAGAAGCTGTCACATAGGACAGGGTCCCAGGGGCTGCGTGGCTAAAAGTGCTGAAGCTTGCAGAGATCAAAGTGCTCACCACCTGAACCAGACACAGGAAGGGAGAATACAAAGTCCACGAGGTCCGAGCCCCCAGTATCCTGCGAGCCAAGGGGCTTTTCGAGGGGTGTTGCTTTTGCAGGGTGCTACCAGCAGTTTGAGGCAAGAGCTGCAGTCACTAGAGATGTTACCGTTGGAGCAGGCATGTGGACTGTGCGCGTCCAGGCAGAAGCCGAGCGTCCAGCGAGCATGTCAAAGCAGAAACGCATACTCGCCTGTTGTTAGTGGGGCCCTGGCCGTTTCCAAGGGACTGCCACAGGTCCCACACACCCACCTGAGTGCCCAGAGTGACCCTTGCAGCCATGACAGCTCCTGGGGGCCCTTCTGCCAAGTCCCGCTTCCGTCACGCTGTGGTTCCTTGCCGACACGCTGGCTCCAAGGACGGGGGCACGAGGAGGAGCCTGTGAGAAAGGGCAGACCCGCGTTAGACAGTTTCACGTGAGTGAAAAGGCGCACGCCGTTTACCACACTGCAGTGGATAAGATGGCCCCACAGGCCCAGCACATTTCCATTAAGAGTTTTCCTATCACAACACAAAATGGCTGGTTTTGCACACAAAAGCCACTACATGCCCTAAAAACAGGTTTCCAAATCCCCACACCATTTCCCTCACACAACGTAACCATATTTCAGTATACTTACCCAACTGCCACACAATTTTTCATAGGCGCCACAACACACCAGTCACAGAAGAAAGTTCCCAAATGACCCTAAATTATCCACATCATTTTCTATATACAATATCGCCATATTTCCACACACATTTTCACAAACAGTTCCTGAATCACGAGTTTTCCACATACGGTCACCATAATTTCCAAAAAAGGACTTTATCCCCACACAGAATAACCAGCTTTCAAACAAATAAACAACCAAACAAAAAAAACCATAATTCAACACGTTTCCACAATAAAGTTCCCAAATCCCCACAGAATTCCCCCAATGTCACCAGATTGGCCCAAACATTTCCACACAAACGTCTCCAATTCACCACACGCAACCGCCACGAGCGGGGCGGGGGGCCGCACGTGCCCACACAGCCCCCCGCCCCGCTC